GGGGGCCCAATCTCAAATTTGATATAATTTTCATAAAAAGCTCCCCCCAAAACATAATAGTCGACCCTAATATCGCTTTAATCGGAAAAGTTAAAAAAGTCGAGGCCCGGGGGAGCCCATCTCAAATTCGATATTATTTTCATAAAAAGCGCCCCCCAAAACATAAGAGTCGACCCTGATATCGATTAAATCAGAAAAGTTACAAAAAGTCGGTGCCCGGGGGGGGGGAGGGTCACACCTAAAATCCGACATTATTTTCATAAAAAGCGCCCCCCAAAACCTAATAGTCGACCCATATATCGATTAAATCAGAAAAGTTACGATAAGTCGGTGCCCGGGGGGGGGAGGGAGGTCACACCTAAAATCCGACATTATTTTCATAAAAAGCGCCCCCAAAACCTAATAGTCGACCCATATATCGATAAAATCAGAAAAGTTACGATAAGTCGGTGCCCGGGGGGGGGGAGAGGGGTTCACACCTAAAATCCGACATTATTTTCATAAAAAGCGCCCACCAAAACCTAATAGTCGGCCCTGATATCGATTAAATCAGAAAAGTAACAAAAAGTCGGTTCCCGGGGGGGGGGGGAGCCGTGTCTAAAATCCGACAATATTTTTATAATAAACGCCCCCTAATATCTAATAGTCGACCCATATATCGATTAAATCAGAAAAGTTACAAAAAGTCGGTGCCCGGGGGGGGAGGGGGAGGTCACACCTAAAATCCGACATTATTTTCATAAAAAGCGCCCCTGATTACATAACAGTCGATCCTAATATCAATTAATAAAATGAAATAAATAAAATTTCCTCTAGTGTTAGCGTTAAGTTAGCTTTTAGTTAAGTTAATAGATAATTTAGCTTAAGCTAAAAGTTAGCGGTTCGTTTCCGCTAATAGCTAATTTAGCGCTAAAGTTATCTGCGCTAAAACAGCTGGAAGCTAAATTAGCGTAATATTTAGCGCCGCTAATTTTAGCTGTTTAGCGCTACGTTAGCTAGTTAAAAATTAGCGCGCTAACGCCCAACTCTGGTGCACTGCACCGCCGTTGCCTGGCAACCTGATATATGAATCAAAGATATGAAAATAGTCACGAGTTCGCGTCCCGGTGCCGGGGGAGTATTTAAATCCCCGCCCACACCCCCTGGCCCGGAAAAATCCCGTTTAGCCTTAACGGTGAGGAAGGGAAAGACCAAAAAAAAAAAAAAAAAAACCTGATAAAATTTTTAATATGTCTGATTATATATCTTTTCTGGCTAAATTAATTATAAAAAAATAATTTTTCTTGCAAATTCTCGGAATCAACACATAAAGTAATAACTGATCTAACTTTTGAACCATTGAAGATAAACTAGTAAAATAATATATATTCTTAAAGAAAATTTAATTATTAAAAACTTAAATCCCAATGAATTAATCGTAGAATGAAGCGATCAAGAATTAGCTAGTTAAGTAGAGTAAATAACGTAAAGTAAAATACTTGTTTCCTCATTAGCGATAGTTGAGGAGGAATAACTCGGAATCTAAGCGGGATAGCTAACCCTTACTCACATAGAAAGAATGTAACTGAATATAAATAGGTTGAGATATTACAACTCTGAGATTGCATCCATCCAGCAGAGCCTACGACCCCCAAAAGCCGATGGGGACCGTTGATCCATCGGTGATTAGAACGATGAATAAATTAACGTGCTGAATTCCATCGATGAATTAAGAAACTAGTCCAAATATTTATATGTTTGTGGAAAGTAATATCTGCTAAATTTTTTGAAAATATGTCTCAGAATTCAGCCAAAGTCTATTAAATACGAATTATTTTTGAAGTTAATAGCTGCAAAAAATACAAATTTTATAACTAAAAAATAAAAAAATAAAACTCAAGTACAGAAATTGGAAACTGCTCATACTAAGGGAGTGTTCTTCCATATACACTTTAACACCTTAATTGGTTTTCATAACATATTTTATGTAAGATCTTGATCATATGTGTTGAGTATAAATTTTCAATATTTAAAAAACTAAAAACGTTAAAAAAAATTAAATTAAAAAAAATCGACTACAGAAATCGGAAAATCCCATCTATTGCAAGGAAATGTTCTTACATCTCGAAGTAAACGCCTTGGCAGATTGTTAGCGAAATTGCTACCTACGAATATTTAAATTTAGTGTAGTAGTCGGAAGCATCCTACGTGCCGACCGAAACTCGAGGCTTTTGAATGTTGACTCGTACCCATGCATGGGACAAAGTCGATTTGTAAGAAGCTGTGATGTGTAGTGAAATTTACCCGACAACTAGACCAAGTTTAAAAATACATAGATATCAATTTTCCTAACAATCCACCAAGGCGTTTACTTCGAGATGGAAGAACATTTCCTTGCAATAGATGGGATTTTCCAATTTCTGTAGTCGATTTTTTTTAATTTAATTTTTTTTAAACTTTTTTACTTTTTTAAATATTGAAAATTTATACTCAACACGTATGATCAAGATCTTACATAAAATATAATATGAAAACCAATACAAATGTGGGAAAACTTAAAATATTTAGGGGGGCAGAAAGTAATGTTGTTTCTATATTTATCACTATTTGATCGCCATTTGTCAGCTAATTGCTTACACAAAAGTCGTGGCAAAGACATTCTAAGAATATAGTGCTTCGTTTGGTTGTAAATAATTAAATTTAAATGTTTCACAATTTTGGGTGAAATGACCAACCAAATAACAGATGTGGTACACATCTGGCATTAAATACTTTTTGAGTTTCTTAATCGTAGTAACGCAACATTTGCGATGTTCGTTAATGCCAAAGACGGTTTTCTTAGTTCTTCTTTTGCCACCTTCTTCGTGCCATCAGCGTGGAGGAACAGCCTCGGCCCATCTCGTCCACTGATCCCTGTCACTGGCTTTCCTCCTCAAATCCAACCAAATCAAAGCTAACTCTGCCTTGCCCAAGTCTCTTCATGTAGCCACAATACAACAGCCTATATTGGAATCTTAAAATTTTCATGAAACATTTTCTGCTATTCATCAGCGAAAAAAAAATCATTTAAAAGAAATTACAGAGACTTAAATTCCCTATTACAGAGAGAAGTACAAAAAACTGTACAACTACTCAAGTTTGTTGAGTTGCTAAATGACCCAGCATACTGATAGACAATATGTAATGAGAGAGAACAAAAAATATAAAGTTTTGCCGTATCATCCAAATTACCGAACGTTATTTATACATTACTATAAATAATACGTGAGACCTATAATAACTAAAAATAATGGCTACCTATTAAAGCAAGTGATTAAATAAAGAAGAAAAAAAATCATGTTACTTGAAAAATGTAATATTGTATTTTAAAATAATAAAAAACCTCATGATAATTTTATTATATTTTGTTGCGTTAAATACATACAATTATAAACTTTATTGTTATCACTGTTCCCAACAACTTCTTATTCACGTTTACATGGATTCACGTTTTCATCCTCTTAGGACGTATATTCATACATTCACCCTCAGTAGTGGGGTGTTTCTTGCTGAATGGGCTCAATGTCGTCTTCATCATCGTCCTCGACAGTGAAGGCACTCTCTACAATGAATACTACCCCTGTGTAAGTGCCCAGTGAGTCTTGAGGACTTGATTATATAGATGTGAGACATTATAATGTATAATGTCTATAACATGAAGTGCCACTTCCGCTTTGCATATTTTGACGAAAAAGTTATTGTAATATACCATTCATATAAAATCTTAAATACGAAATTTCAGTTTCCTACGACTTTTTGTTTTTGAGCTAGAGTGTTCCCATACACAAAGACCATTTGCGCTACTAGGACTAGGTTTATTGGACTCAGGGGACCTCAAAACGTGTATTTCCGTTCAAAACTCTTATTCGAAAATTTTACGATCGCAATAATTTCCTTTACTATATATTTCATACTGCTTGCCACAATGCTTACCAGGACCCTCACGTCCAAACAGGATGAAACCGTGGGTCCATATAAAGCTGCGAGTGTAATATTAAGAAGCTGCTGAGAACAGTGATAACAACGAGATTTATTTGTTTTACGTAACGAAATAGAATAAAATTATCATGAGACTTTTTATTATTTTAATATTAATACAACATTAAATTTTTCAAGTAACATGATTTTCTCTATTTTATTTAATAATTGGGTTTTTTTTTCCTATCCTCCAGAAATTTCTTTATTACAAAATACAATATATAAATGTATATATACAATAATTAAATGATATACAATATATATATACAATATATATACATAATTTTTTTTTTATTTCCTTTTAATAATTGGTTCTCAAGTGTACTCACAAATATTATAGGACAAGTGAACAAAAGTTGTAGGTAAAAATATGATAAAACAATGACAAAAGAATATGATAAAAACAACTTTTTCTAAAAATGACATTTTAGGAAAAAAATTAAAATAGCTGTAATAGTAGACTGGCTGGAGATTAATTTGCTTATGTATATATATATATATTCTAATAAGTAATTTGAGTCTCTATAATTTCTTTTAAATGTTTTTTTTCCGCTGATGAATAGCTTAAACACACACACGCACACGCGCACGCGCACGCGCACGCACGCACGCATTTGTCAATGTTTTGAGCACAAATTGTTTTGAAACATTCACGGGATCTCGCTGGAACATTTATCCAATTAATTATAAATATTTAAATATAATAATGCAAAAATTGTTACATATATTTTAGCGAATTGATCAATCCTTTCTATGAATGCTATTTAAAAACACACCCGCTTTGAGTCGGCAGACTAGAGCAAATTGAATGTTGACGATGAACATTATTAAAGAAAGGACGACCATACAGGTTTTAATTAATGCTGATGGGATACAGGGCAAAGTAGATTATGATAGCTATAATCGTAGAGAAAAATATTTTTTAATAAAATATAATTCGATGAACAATCCCTAAAAATACTTATACAAAAATCAGTTAGTTTCAAAAATGTTAGTAGACTTACCCATTACCCCTAGTTGTTGAGGTGTGAGCTGTGCTATATCAGCGGGTAACCCAGCGGCAGAGAGCTTCTCAGAGAATGTTGATGACAGAACTGAGGGTTGTCTTTGCAATGTTCTCAAAGGGCTTAAACCTCGAGAGATATCTAAGGAAACAAAAAGAAACTACATATCTTCAACACACTATTTCTATAAAATAATACAAACTTTATGAGAAGGAGTTAATCGGGGGGTGCGGTCAAATAAAGAACTAAATTAAAATATAGTAATTATTTAATTTTTGCCGACGTTTCGAACCACTTTGCAGGTCGTCTTCAGGGCGTAGGATGTAGCACTGCGGGAGGCAGTTGAAAAACGTCGGCAAAAATTAAATAATTACTATATTTTAATTTAGTTCTTTATTTGACCGCACCCCCCGATTAACTCCTCATATTATATCAACGGTCAACCATCTCTACATCAATACAAACTTTAGTTTAAATGATTAAAAACTAAATAGTTTTTAAAATTCTTTCCATTGAAACAAGGAGTATTCAACAGATAATTTAAGATATATCCATTGCTTCTTCGTCAGAATTAAGAATGATTTCTTCAAAAAAAAACATTGCCTCCATTTTCAAAGCTTCTGACGCAAAAAAAAGTAAAAATCTAGTGCGGTAGGCGCATCACACAACTTTCACTTACCACCCTCTTAGCAGAAATAAGTATTTTCAGATAAAGCGAAGTGAACGTAAAAATGATAGACTCTATATTTATTTATATTTCATTGTGGGTATTTTTATTTGTAAATGTACCCTCATACATACAAATTTTAATATTTATATCACTGTAATATATGCAATTAAATATTAAATAATACCAACAATAGCATTTATGAAAATATATACACATATAATATTGTCGGAGTCCGTATTATATTTATCTCATGATACTTATGGAAGCGCGTTCTAATCTTTCAGGTAAGCTTGTGTTCGCTCGTATTCCTTTGGTTCCTCAATTACAACTATTCTCCGTTACGTCTTATATTTCTCCTTTAGTTATTTATCAAATTCTTTCATATTTTATATTTAGCCATTTTCGAATTAGAAAATAATGTGAAATGGTCAACTGTTTCAAATAAAAAAAGTAAGGTACTTTAGAGGAAGCTAATATTAAAAATTAGCCATTTAAGCCCTATTAGAGAACATCAATCAGAATAATAACCACATTTTATTTAAAACTGCTTAATTTTACACTGATATGATGTATTTAATCAAAATCTTTAGAGCAGTTTTCGAGATAATCGTAAAAATGTGTTGAGTCCATTATATAAAGTGCCATTCCGGTTAGCCGATGTTGTCGAAAAAGTTGCTGTAACATCCCTAGCATATAAAAACTTTAAATATGCAATTTCACTTCCGTACGACTTCTCGTTTTTGAGCTAGACTGTTAAAACACGCACAGACATAGACATACACACACACACAGACCATTTTGCGGGAATTGGTTATTTGGACTCAGGAGACCTCAAAACGTGTATTTCCGTTGAAACTCAGATTCAAATATTTTTACGATCGCAATACTTACCCTTACTATATATAACATATATAGAAAAGTGAAAGTAAAAAAAAAGATCGCGGAAGCCACTGGCGTTCTTTATGAACTTTAATAAAAGAGACATGAATATTTTCATAGATGAATTGAGTTATATTCGTTTTGCTAACGAAAAAAAACCACGTAATTTCGGTCTTTTGCGCTGTCATCTGGGATCCCATATTATGCCTGGCTATTCTACCATCACCCAACCTGATTGCGTGTTTCAGCCATTTGAAGAGCTGAAATCTCACGAAATGTGAACCTCGAGATTCGTCGTATATATAGTAGATACCTTTGTTCCTTTTCAAGCAGTACAAACCATTTTTAGTAATAGGATCCATGATGAGGCTCAACACTTTTCTCTCAAATCTGTCAATCTTTTCAGCCAGGATCTTGAGCCTAGATGGCACAGGCATAGGTCAACACGGATCGTATAATTGTTTTATGGAGTCTTTTTGGTACCTCAATTTAGTAGTTTATTACGGAGGAAACTTCTTAAGGCAAAATAAGATTTTTTAGCTCCCTTAATACAATTTCGAATTTCCTCCTCTTCCTCCATTTGATCCTTTACTATGGAGCCAAGATAGTTAAAACTGGGCACGTATTGGAACGTGTACTTTACCACTACATAATGCTTTGGTGGATTCATTGATGTTTTCTTCTACAACAGCATCATTTTCGTTTTCATTATTAGGTAGGTCCATTCTCTCTGCTTCTCTTTCTAACCATTTGCAGACCTTCTTTATAGCCTTGAGGGACATCCTATCAAGAGCCAAATCATCAGCAAAACCAATCATTTGATTAAAGATTGTACCTGACAGATTAAGCTTGGCTCTTTTCACCGTAACTTGGAGGGCAACATTTAACAGCAGAGGCGAAAGGTCACCCTGGCTGAGGGTAAAACCATACTGCACCGCTTCCCGCTTAATCCGCTCGATTCTAGCGGAGAAGTTTACAACCAGCGCGCTGTTATAACGCATTTGCCCGTTACATATCGTTCCGAATGTATTTGTCCAAGACAAAACTCCGCTCTGCTCGTTCTATTTAAGATAGAGGAGCTATCTCATTCAGTCATTTTGGTCCCAGATAAATTAACTTTATTTTTAGTATTACCTAATTTTCCACTAATTTGTAATAATCATTATATTCTAAAAATCTATATTTTTTAACAATTTAAGAAAAATATTTCTAGCCTATAATTGATTAGCAACAATATTCTCAATTTTTTCTCGCGTATTTTAATGATATCAGACCAGTTTAAGAAAAAGTATATTTTCACAACACAATCTGGTTCCCGCATCACATAACTTTCACTTACCGCTCTACTTCGAAAAACAATTCTTGTCTGGCAAAATTGGGTAATTACGAGAAGTTTTTGAAGCCCATTTTTAATTCGGCTAAATCTTAAACAATATGTTTTAGATTTTCGGTCATATTTATCAATACCGTCAAAATAACATAAATCCTATTTATTATACCCATTTTAGGCAATAAAAAGCTTATAAATGCGTCAATCTATTTAAATCACATAACTCCAATCTCTCAGCTCTATAGACAAAGAGAGATTTGCTATTTGAAGATAATTTTTTGCTTCCTCACTACCGAAGATAGGGAAGCATTGCGTTCGTGCGAGAGGTTAAACAAAATTTCGTGCTCAGAATCGAAAAATTTCACTCGCATTTTACGTTTTAGACATCACGGATCAAATTTGGTTCGGTGTCTGTATGCAGTCGATGTGACGGGCATATCACCTAATACCTTTCTTCCGATTTTCATGAAATTTTCAGGCATTGTGTGGGTTGGTGCCTAGATGGTCCCATATCAATTTTATCAAATTCCATCCAGCACCTCCGTTTATGCACGCGCAAACGTACTTTTTAAATATGCCAATATTTCAGAAACGGCTCGTTCGATTTGGCTCAAAGTTGGATAAAAGGTAGGTAATGGTAAAAAAATAAAGTAATGTCAATTTTATGGAATTCTATCTTCTAATTTCTCTTATATATGACCAAACGTGTTTTCCTTATATCTCTAAAACCGCATGTTTGATTTGGCTCAAATTTGGAGGGAAGTTTGGTAAACAGATAATCAAGTAGGTATGAATTTCATCAAATTCTATCCACTACTCCTAAAAAAAAAATAATTTTGCTTTCGGCTCAGTAAACGTATTGCTTGAGAAGTCTATGGTTTGAAACCGAGTGTTCAATTTGACCTAAACTTGGAGGAATTTTGGAGAATAGTATAGAAATTACCTAATATGAATTCCATTTAGTAATTAAGATTAATATAAATGATTCCCAACAATATAAAGGCAGTGAAATGTGAAAGATACTGGTCATATGGAGTGGGAGTTAGGTTAACACGATATTTTTATGTGGTTATAAAATTTTAGGTTTTATTTAAAGTGTTAATTTATACTGTAGTGTTTCTTCGATTCCAAGCGTTATTGGCATGATACTTACTGCCGTTACTTAGATTTCGTGTAATTTTCTATAAATTTAAATTAATTTTTACTCTGAGTTTGTAAAAAAGAATAATCTTATTTGTGATTGTGTTTACTTCTATTGAAGTTCAACGAGCTCGTCGTGGTATAGAGTTTCTCTGTGATTTTTATATATACTTTTATATTCAGCTTAAATAGTTTTGTTATGACTGAAGAAAAGTATTGGTCTCGTTAACTCTGAAAAACGAAAAGTTTAATTTTTCTTATGTATGTTTTGTTCCATCCAGTTTTGGAGTGAAAACATGCCGATTAATTACATATTACTATTGTTAGTGCAAAAGGTCGTATGTAAAAATGTTTACCTTTTGATTCCATTTGTTCTAAAGGTGAATTAAAAAATTCCTGCAACTGATATAAGCATTGTGCTACGATAAAAAATAGCAGAGGGCAAAAATTATGAAATTATACTAATAAATCATAAAGAAACAATCAGTTTTTATGCTTTTCGGTAAAACACTCAATTTTTACATACGACCTTTTGCACTAACAGTAGTGATATTAATGTTCAGTACGCACTGGATTTTTTTTTTTTAAATCTCGAATCAGCGAATATACAATCTACTAATGCGGATCTTTTTCGCATTTTAGTATTCGCTGATGAACAAAACTCGTGGATATATGTTGAGGGATTATTGAATTTCCGAAAACTGCTTTTTCCAGAGATTTTATTCTCACACAAAAATTTTAGACCTTGTAATATATACATATTTTTTAGAATACAAAAAATAGCATACGGTGAGGAAGCTATACTGACCTTACTTGGCAGACTTTTTTTTATTTTTTATTAATGATATTTACAACTGTTTTATAGAAATACATTTAGTAAATTTGTAGAAATGGATATAATGAAGTGAAAACACTTGTTGAGAAACTACCCACTGGTTAATTACTCTAATTAATAAGCTCTAATAATATGTCTACATTAGGAGATCGCGGGGCCATCTTCTTTTCAGACCCCTCGGAGGGTTATCAGGAAATGAAGAGGAAGCAAGGTTAGAAACGAGAGAGTTGGGATGGAACTGAAGTTCATTATGGAAGGATAGGTATCTGGATTTGGCCAAATCCACT